TCTGCCTATCGTTTGACACTGTGTGTTCACTTCTGTTACAGTGCCCTTCCCTTCTGGGATATGTACTCTCCCTTTGCTCACGGTTCCTTATGTTATTGGCTGGCAATGTCTCTTTGTGGCGCTCATGTCTGGAAGTATAAGACAGCAAAGCTCATGTGTCAACAAGCATCAAGAACTTTTCAAGCATTGAAACATTACAGTTCACTGGTTTTAAAGTTGGAATGCCTCGTCTTGCGGACATCCACTATACTACCACGATTCCCAACCCAAGATGCTCACTACCCCCACATGCAGTGTACTGAAATCGAACGTAAAATTTATTCCAAATATAATTCAGAGCTGAAGGAAATAAACACTGGTAATTTGCCTGGTTTGATCACGATACAGACGATGGCTTGTCTCTTGCGATGATAAAAACTACCCCCAGCACTAACCATATAATTAATCTATCATGTTAAACCACACAGTTATAGTAAGATCATTCAAATGGGGAAGTAAAGTTAGAATTCTTTCCTAGACAGCAGGGCATTGTGCCCTATTCGTGATGGCACTTCTGAATGACAATGCTCTGGCATGCTGCTGCTGTTGCTTGCACAGCGGCAACCTACTACAATGTTGTGCCACTTTGGCCGTAAAAAATACGCACAAAACATGAATTAAGTTTAGTTACGAATAACTGTGAATGCCATAGGAAATCAGAATAACACTTACCTCACTGTTTGATCGCCACTGTCATCTTCTGATCTGGTTTGTCTTCTTTCAAATCTACTCTGCGAAGAATGAGACTGTCTTGTTCTGTCACCATCTTCATCAGAGGGTTCTTCTTTTATTTTTACAGCTTCCGGTGACATCCTATGTTTTGTGCATGTCCGTTTATGCACCCTTCCCCCCTTCCCCCTACTGCTGTGGCTATGTCTGTGACGACTATGATGATGACATCTGTGTCTGTGGCGTTTCCTACTATGTTCATCGTGGATAATGTGAACATCTTCTAAGTGTGAGATACCATGTTTATGTTTTTTACTTTTCCTTGACTTTCTCACTATTATCAGCGAGGAATCAGAATCAGATATCAGGTCCACTGTCTCTAAGCATTTTGTTTTGGTACCATCTTTTGAAAGAGGAAAAGAATCCAGTTCCAAATCAGTGGAAACTTGTGAAGAAGCAGAATTACCTGAGGAATTTCGCAATCTTTTCTTTCTGTGCCTTGTTGTAGTAAAAGCACTGGTATCTTTCATTTCTGTTTGATGGTACTGTAAACATAGAGAGACTTCATTACAATATATACCACTGGCCTACCTATCACAGAACTTCACAGCCAGGTGCAACAGAATGCACCAACCTAACCTGATTTAACTAGAAGTTCCACGGAAAATAATTTTGTCTCTTTACGTGCTATGCACACATTCCCCCATACATGGCAGGATTAGCTGAATACAAATGGTCACTGACCTCAACAATAAAGCAATTTCCTCATTACAGTTAAAATTCTGGGCATTGCTAACAGTTCATATCTCAATTGAGCATCTGTCAAATAAAGACAGATATCCCCTTTTGAAAATGATGAGCAATAAAACTATCTATTTCAGGGCACTGTAAACTAAATACAAGCCATGAACTTAATGTTTATTAGCTGTTACTTCTAGTGATCTCTTATTTGGTATGTTATGTACTGTCTGTATACTTTATGTTAATATTGTTATGATCAAATAATTTTCCACAAAACTTACAGCAGGCAACCACAAGAACAAAGCAGTGAAAATTATGACCAAAACACGTACACAGATTCTGAACAACGTCAATGCTACTCACATTATCAAACAATAACCCGTGGTAATTAAAGTACACAAGCGTGATTTTTTTTAAAAAACAAACAATAGTATGCCTCTACATCTTCAAAAATGCAATAATATTCAAACACGGAGCTTAACCTTACTTACGCGTAATGCTCGAAAAGCAACAGACATACGCTCACGTAACAATCAGAGGAAATCACGCTCTACTACGCAATAATTTTAGCAATAATTGTAACACACCAATAAACTACAAAAACAAATCTGTTGGTGTTAAAAACTGATAAATTCTTTTGTTTACTAAATAACAATTTCGCCTTCAACGACGAATTTTAATCTTCATCCACAGGAAGTCCCAAAACATCACAGATGATAAAATCAGTTATTCAATCTACATTCTGCGAGGGTATATCTTACTGCCATCTATTCTTAAAATACAGAATCAAGATACCGAACTCGGTAGTCCATTGGATAAGAATGTCTTTGGTAGCATTTCGGACTACATTGTGTGAAATCCCAGATGGTCACCTTCAAATCATAAATGTAAAATCATACATCTTCAGGCCTGAAGATGAAAGCATTATGTTCCTCTACAACCCAGACAATGTAGTCATTCTCCACCGTGATAACCTCAAATCTCATAAAATTAAATATCAGTTTGGTAAATAATATTCATTCTGGCTGCAAAATGTCACATCTGCAAGAGTTATACCACACAGTTAATAGTTTTAGGCTCGGTATTAGTAGCAACACTACAAAGCAGACTAACTCGTTCTGCAAAAAATTTTGCATCCACAGCTGGTATGGTCAAACACATGGAAACAGCTTTGTGGTGCCCAATAAAAATAGTTGCAATCCTACCATTTGTAGAGGTCCTAGAGCACTATGCCACAGTGAGATGCTGATGTGAACTGCTGCATTGCTGCCGGAGAGATTATGCTGACTTATGTTGCATTCTTGGGGTTACATCCAGTTCTTGATTGTCCCACGATACTTGTCCAAGTTTCTATGAAGTGCATCTGCAAAAAAAGGGGCAGCAGCCAACTGTTCACTTGATTTATTGTTTTGTGGTCCTCGGTAATCACTTTTCCACGTGATGTATGACCTTAAGCTACCATGACAACTAACTATAATAAATTTATTATACTTTTCCATGTGTTTCACAAGTATGCACCTGCCTGTAATGAGGGATAGTTTTCTTTACTTGGTTTCCTGATGCAGAAAAATTGCAAGGAGGGTAATGTCCAGCATAATATCAATGATGCATCTTTTATTCTAATAACAAGTAGTGCCATTTCAGCAAAACTAGAACTACAGCAGTATTAAAGAATCCAAATGCATGAAACAATATGGACTGAAATGAATATAAGTATCAAAACAGTTAGAATCAGTGTTAAAGCACAATTATTTCTGCAATGTCCACTCCCATAGCACATAAAACACTCTCATTGCCAATATTAATATTATCATATAAATTTTGTCCCGGAGACAAGTCTGGGACATATCTTTCCAGATTTTATTAACGAGATTAATGCTTCCATGGATTCCCTTTGTAACTTGCTGTGAATGACTTGAGTGTTGTGAAATGAGCCCCAACTACATTCCATTTTGCCACTCTTCAACCAATGCATGAAGATATATAAAACACAATTTAAAAAATTATTTTCAACTTACACCTTCTACTCTGTAGATAAATTTATATCATCAAGAAATTATTAACTGTAACAATGTATTTGTAAATTCTGTATATATTTCTGTGTTTGTATACATTCCTGTAACCATATGTCTATTATAAAGGTCATATATAAATGCATTAACTTTATACATAAAGAAATTACATAATGTGATATTATTTTATATTAATATTGGAACCATATTAGTCACATTCTTGAGTGTACTGAAACTGCAAGTATCTCTACACATATAATTTATTTGCATATTCTGAAATTTTATGAGACAAAACATGAACCATATGTGACGTACAGATTTTTTGTAATCTATGGTACAGGGTCAGCTCTCTCTTGAGACACTGCCTTTATGTGGCGGAGAGATTGCGTGCCCTGTTTGAAGCGGAGAGCTATGCCAGCAGTAGCTTGGCTACTGTTAGGTTCAACCTTGCTTAGGGGCCAGATGAAAGGTATCTCAAAGTGCTCAATCAGTTCTGGTTGGGCATGTGGCTGACAACCCACCCCGTAAAGATCAATTGTTGAGAAACCTTGTGAGATGCCTCGGAATGGATTGGAATACCTAAGATGGTACAAGCAAAGGAACATGGATATTGAATTTGGTACTTGGAATGTAAGGGCACAGTATAAAGGATGAATGGCACAAGAACCCTTAAGAAAGTCCTAAATGCTAAGTTTGAAGGAACAAGAACGGTAGGAAGACCTACAGGAAGGTGGGAAGATGCTGTGAGATAAGATGCTGCCAGTCTGATCCAATGTCAAAATTGGAAAATGGCCGCAAATAATAGATCTTCATGGAGGCAGAAAATTGACGAGGCCAAAGCCCGATATGGGCTGTAGAGCCATTGGATGGATGGATGGATGGATGGTACAGGGTCAGTCTTCCTTGCTGTAGTGTGTCAAGGATAAAACCCCTTTCTCATATGTAAGGATGTGGTATCTCTCAAATGGTCTATCATAAAAGCAGCAGATACAGTTTACTTAGTAAGTGTTTTAGGTGTTCTTTTGGCAGATTCTATGTTGAAAACTGCTAATAGCCAGGCACATATTTGTGTGTCCCAGTTTGAAGCTCAGTTTTTCATACATTCCCCATTAATCATAACTTCAGTGGAATAAAGCCCCACCAGATATCCTCAAATTTATCTTGCCTTTTATTTGCAAGGTTCTTGAAAAAATGTACAGATGTGATGTATTTTTTATAACATTAAATTAAAATTCCATTTAAAATTTGTCTAGCTCACTACTGGTCTTATGAACTTGCTTATAGATAGTGGATGAATTGGTTTCAATTACCCTGTTAAAATCGATGATCCTTCATATGTTCAAAATTATTCACTTTTATCGAAGAGCATTAATACACTACCTTCTAAAATATTACAGATAAAATATGAACTTACATCAACCTCAATTGAGCAATTAAGCAAAGAATCTAGTAATCTTCATATATGAAGACTCACACACTTATGTAATATAGAAAACAACGCAAGACCAACACTAAATATCTTTTAGCCGACGAACAACAGAGTTCTAACACATGTCGATCTTAAACTGCAATCTTCTGAAATGACCGCGTGTCAATGGTCACGGATCATACAACGAAGATTAGGAACCATGAAACCACCACGGGATACTAGATTAACTACTACATGCAGTAGCACCGCATGAAAGGGAAAGTATTCCTTCATGGAGGGAAATTGTCATCTGGTAAGTGTGATGGTAACCTCTGATGAAGCATTTGAAATTTTGAACGTTGAAAACATTGTCACTCAAGTCAAGATGCAGTCTGCCAGCAATGTTAAGAATAAGGAGGAATTACGGGCACTGTGCAGAAAAATTGGATTGTCAGAGGACTTGTGTTTATACCCCCCGGACTGTCCACCAGAATATCGAGATGACGTTGAGAAATTGTCAATACGCATGATTGAGAATATTGCTTCTAGAAATGGAAAGCCTAAGGAGTGGACTATTGATGACTTCGATATTGGATATCCTCTAGGCAGAGGTAAATTTGGCAGAGTATATTTGGCTCGTGATAAATACTGTCACTTAACGGTGGCCATCAAAGTGTTATACAAGTCAGAAATAAGGAAGAGTCGAGTTGAACATCAAGTGTTGAGAGAAATTGAGATTCAGACTCATCTGAAGCATCCAAATATATTGTGTTTGAGAACCTACTTCTATGATGAAAAACGTATATATTTGGTGTTGGACTATGCTGCAGGAGGAGAGCTTTATAAACATTTGCAGACCTCACCAAACCATAGATTTTCTGAGGGGAAGGCAGCAAAATATGTTTACCAGGTTGCAGATGCCCTAAACTTTTGCCATCTGAACAAAGTCATTCATCGGGATATAAAACCAGAAAACCTCCTGCTAACAATGAGAGGTGACATTCTTCTTGCAGATTTTGGTTGGTCTGTTCATGCCCCATCTTCAAGGCGCAAGACCTTGTGTGGAACTTTAGACTACTTGCCCCCTGAGATGGTTGAAGCGAAAACTTATAATGAATTTGTTGATCACTGGTGTCTTGGTGTGTTGTGTTACGAGTTCCTGGTAGGAAGACCTCCATTTGAATCTGGTGATACAAATGAAACATACTCTCGCATAAAGAATGTGGATCTACACTTCCCTAAATGCGTACCCGAAGGGGCTAAAGACCTAATCAGCAAGTTACTTCGCCAATGCCCCGCTGAGCGCATGCCATTACCAGATGTCATGAAGCATCCTTGGATTGTGAACAACATAGCAAAATAGAGGAAGTGTTGTTGCATGTGTGATTGTCCTATGCTAGTAACAGTGAAGTATTAACTAGACAGAAATATCAACTGTGGTTACATTAATTACTGTGTTATATGCAGTATTATGGACTCTAGTTTTTCCCATGAAATGTATCGGTCACCATATCATAACATTTGTTATTACCAATACTGCATTTTGGATTTACTATAATTGCTGTTCTAATCTTGTCTTCATATTCACAATTCTTGTTCCTTGTATTACAAATAAACACCCCATTATTGCAAAACCAGTTCAGTGAGATTACTGAAGTCTGGATGTATATCAATAAAGACAATTGCAATCTATTTATGTGTTTGCTAGATACCAACATGTGAAATTAACTGATAATTTTTCAAAATGATTGGAACTGATGATAAAAACTTATTAACAATTGGCCACATTAATTCTGAACTGAACGTGAAATTAACTGATAGTTTTTCAAAATGATTGGAACTCATGATAAAAACTTATTAGCAATTGGCCACATTAATTCTGAACTGAAGTCTAATGTTTCAGAGATAATCTATGTCTCCATCATCAGTGAATTATTTAAACCAGGGATTCTCAATCTGTGGGCTGTATGTGATGTGTTTTGTGTGACCCATGAACCTATTTTACTTGTAATTTTATATCACTGTATGATGGGAGGTAGTTACCTGATACCGGAATACATCTTGCTAGTGTCCTCTGTGACATTCTGGGTTGTGACAGAGTAGACTCACAGGTGAATAACCCTGAAGAACAACTTTGCAATCTTCACCACTATGAGAACCTCAAATCTCATATAGCATTGTTAGTATCCGGCAGTAGCTTTTATTTTTTGCACCTGTTGAGCATAAAGAATATCAAATCAGCAACTAGGTTGCATCTTACTGATCACCACTTAAAAGAATACATGCAAATCACAACAGAAATTAAACTTTACATTAAAGAGTAACCCAAGCAAAAATTGTGCTAAATATCTTACTAATAATTGATCTTGTTAAAGAAAATAATTGAGTAAAATGTGAACTTTTTTGCAATAATAACCTAACAGCATTTCTAGTAAAGTTTCCTCAAAAATTACAACGAAGTACAATTGCTACTTTACAGTTACTTTCATTCTTGATTTTAGTCATAAGTTCATGTGTGAAATGTATAATTTTATGAACATTTTTGGAAGAATAAATAAACCTGGCATGAAAAGTATAATTTTGTAGCTTGTTCATCAATAAGTAAGAGTGACTGCAGCCACAAGTATGGAAATGGTTGTTGCCCTGTTGTAGAGAGTACCAACTGCTGGTCGAGGTGTATGCATTTACAAATCCATAGGGGCTCCACCTTCAAGGGCAACTATGGACCTATTAAGAATGGTGGGCAAAGCCAAGAGTCAAACTGTCACATCATTAAGCTCACTTACTGGCCCTGGTAATTCAGTTTATAGTGATCTGCCTTGCATATTCCTGTCTCTATGCATTGCTATCCTCTGTCTGCAGAATAAAACATTTCTACTTCTTGTCGTGTTTGAATGTTGCTTTGATCTTTCTGTTGACACTGTATGGCATTCTGGGGGCATGTTGGTGAGTGGGTACAAGGTCTTCTGGATTACCACATGTGGTCTTGTAGGTGGTTACCAGTGCTTCAGAAAAATGTAATGCCTCCATCTACATGGTAGAAGATGGAGGCGATGTGCTTTTCCAAAATGTTGGTAACCACCTGCATGACTAAATGACCCCACAACACATAAGACTAGTTCTCATTTTGAAGATTGCTGTCTTCTGGGTTGTTGCGCCATATAGTCTGGCAGATTTCCACCAACGTTTCAGAGGTCATACTGCCTGTCATCAGGGCGATGAATCAACCCAGAAAACAGAAATCTTCAAACTCACGGCTGTGAAAACCTCATATCCTACATAGTCCTCATTTTCACCACTGAAAATATAAAATTCCATCAGGTGGTTTACCTCCTCTCTAGAGTAAAATAAATTAGCTACACAATAGATGCATGACTTTGTTAACAGATTTTTTTATCACTAGGAACAATTATAACAGAATTGCATTTTCATTAAAGGTACATTAACCAATGATATTTTGCTAAGCATTGTTATAAAACATTAACTTTATTTCAGGTCTGATCAGTGACTACGTATGTAACTTGCGTTCGAGGACAGTACCATTGCCTTGAATGCATGCAATACTAACAAAATAACATAAATTTATCCCCTAATCACACTTTTGTTCGCGGGATTTTCAATTTAAATGTTAGATCACGGCATCTTAAACGGAAATCCGGTTGTGATCACAGATGCCTAAATCTTGACTGGGATTGTACTTTGTGTAGGTTATGGCTGTTTGTTTTCAATTTAGTATAACATATCTCTCATCTTGTTCAACTTTATAATTGTCTGGTCTCATAAAATAATGTGTCATGTTTCTTCACAAAATTTATGGGAGGTTTGCTGACGAAGAGTAACAAAGAATATGGCTGCTAAGCGACTTCTGAATAGGTTATGTTATTACCAGTGGTGAAAGGTCAGACAGTGGGTGGACATTGGGACTACCGTTATTTATTGTTATTTTAATTCAAGCTTTGCACACAGGTTGATTATTTCTGACACAACATTACATTAGTTTTTAGTTAAATCGTCATGTGTCCCATATGAATTTGTGTCAACACTGCCTCTACCCCAGAAGAGGGCAAGGCAAACATTTTAATTTTTTGCACTTGGTTAACATTAGGTACTGTAAGATGAAGCAGAGTTATTCATCTCAAGACATATATTTCAATTCAATTTTATTTATTAGAAATAAACCGTCACAGATATTTAAGCCTTCTAAACAAAAGTAGATGAGGGATTTGTTTTGGTGCAATAGCTATAAGAAGAAGCAGCCAGTTGGCTTTAATAATATTAAACACCAATGTTTGTGTGATAATGGTATGATTAATGTAGGGGGAGTTGAAGAGGAGAGATGTAGTGAGTTATGTCAGAAGATGTAAGTCCTGAAAGATTCATAAGGTGGAACACAGGAATCATTGGGGACAGGTAACAGCATCTCTCATCATCATATCCAGCCTGAGCCTGGCCATTTGCAAAATGGGTGATAGCTTGACTGTGCCCTTTGAACAAGTCCTGGTTAGTGAAGTGTGGGTACTACTACGTCTTCATTCATTTAGTTTGTGCCATTTATGTCAGTACTGGATAATAGAGTTTCCATATAGTGTATCTGATAAATGTGTTCATTTCAGTGTAGAAATAGATATTCCCAATGGAGCACAAACCATATATAGTACTAGGAGAGGCACCAGAGTCAGACAGTGAGGAAGAGGTCAATGTATCAGTTGTAAGTATTTTGAGAATTATTAGTGTTATATTCATCTGTTTAATATTACATTAAAACATCTCTAAATACCTGCCTTTGGCACTTGGTTTGCTGTATCACAGCAGAATGCAAAATTGCAAATTGAGATTCTGTGTAATTGATAGGAAGATAGTATTATACTCTTGAAAGAGTATCCTATTGAACTTAGTGTGCTTACATAATTACAGTTCAAAGGCTCACAAATAAAGCATTTGGCTCCACATAATCCACAGGGAGTTACAGTAGCAGGGGAGGCTCCAGAATCAGATGAAGAAAATGAAGAAGGTAACACAAGATTACTTTATACTTTACCTCTCGTGATAAGTTTTTGAAGCCTACAGAGAAGTTAATAAAGAAATTACAGTACAGTTTCTCTTTAAAAAACATATTTTCATCAAACTTTTCATAAAATGACAATTTCTCTTTAAAAATCATATTTTCATCAAACTTTTCATAAAATTTCCATTTAGCTCTTTTTATAAAACATATGTTTCTCTAATAGTCTGCGTAATGTTGCCGAGTTATCACTGTGAAGGCCCATGCTCAAATCTGGGCACTCAATGTGGGATTTATGGTGGACAATGAGGAAGATTTTTCTTTGGCAGTACATTGGTTTCTATTGTTTCCACACACAAATAGTTTTGTTTCACTATGCCATTAATTTTGGAGCCAAGGTAGCTCAGTCAGTATAGTGACTAACTATGGACTGGACGACCAGGGTTCAATCCCCAAGAGGGGCAGAGGATTTTCCCTCTAGCCTCTGCATTCAGACTGGCTCCAGTGCCTACCCAGCCTCCTGTCCCATGGGTAGGAGGGTAAAGCGTGACACTGACCATTAACCCCTGTCTAGTGCTAAGGTTAAGAATGTGTAGGAGCTACATCTCTCTGTCCCCCCTCAAGTATTGGGAGAGCTTTACTGTATTTTACATTTTTATGCCATTAATTTTAATTTTTACAAACAAAGAAATTGAGTACCAGAATAAAAAATTATCTTTAGATGCTGGAAGTGTGAGCAGTGCTACCAGTGTATCTTCTCTAGCATCTTTAACGCTGGGAATCAAAAGAAACAAAGCATCTGCTGAAAATAAAAAACCTGATGATGCAAAGTACAATACGTTATTGCATAAAAGACTTCGTAAGTACTGAACGTCACATTTAAAATTACATTTTAATGCTGAAAATCTTAACATAGTGATTAGAATTTCTGTTCTCTATTTGTGAGATCGATCATCAGTCTGAATCTCAGCCCCTTTATAAATTAAGAGGCAAGAGCTCCGCATATCCAACCAAAATCTTCTAGTCGCTAAGCTACATCCACTTACCCAGTCTCAGTGTGCTTCATACAAATATTTTTTGACAGAATCCAGTATACATTTTTCATCTTCCCCATGCATGCTACTTGCACCACCCATCTCATGTTCATTGACTTGATCATTGTAATAATATCTGGAGAAGGTCCAAATATTCTCTTAAGCAAACACCCTCAATCTGTGTTCTTCCCTTAATGCACGAGACCAGTTTCATACCTGTATAAAATAAAAATATTTATCAGTTAGAATTAAAAAAGTTCCCATGTTTTTCCCATGACACACATTCGAAAGATAAATACACCCCAATTCTAACATTTTTTAAATTACTTTGTAGGTGAACGCAACATGTCTCTGCATAAGAATGTGTATGATATCACGCACCAGACTATCATTACAGCGGGTCGGAACCTTAATACTATGAACCAGCAGCTGCTTCATTCACAGTGTCAGCTGCAAGAAGCAGAGACAGCTGTCAGAGTGGTGCAGACACACCTAATGCAACTCCAGATGAAGCTGGCTGCCGTAACATCCGCAGATTTCATTCCTTACATTAAAACTCCAGCAACACACGCCAATGTACCAGAATTCAAATTGAGCTGATCCTGTTTGTTTCTGCAAGATGACTCCATTTTTGAGTAGGCTGGTTTCCTGACATTTCAGATAATCTGAATGTTTCTCTTTTTCAGGGTGAAGTGGTTAACCCTTTGAAGCTTTAAATTAATGTAAATAATGTTAAAAATTCAGTTTGTACCTCAAAGAAAACATAACCCCATTACAAGGATCATTTGGTTAATGTTTCTGGAAATAATCAGTATTTATTCTGGGAATATGAAAGCCATAATGATTGTTAAAACATGTGGTACATATAGGTGCCACTGCTATCAGGGTTAAACAGTCTAAACCAGTTATTAAAGGTGACATGTATATGTGCATTTTTAAAATTTGTTAAAATTTGAACATCAGATAACATTATGCATCTGTCCTGCAACCTTCCTTCAGAAGAAAATTTAGAAAACCGACCCTGAAAAAGAAACCCATGTCTCAGTGTGCTTCCCTACTAAAGCAGAAATTCAAGAATCATTGCCAGACCATTGTTTGGCCACCTCAGTGTGAAGATGAAAACCGCCAGAAACACACCTTAAAAAAAATGCAGCGAAAACGGAGCATCATCACACAACTTTGAAAACAGGATTATGAGGTTTATCATAAAGATAAAGAAGATATTTCTCATGAGGAAGACTATATATTATATTCTTACATACAATCAACAGACATTATCACTGAAATATATTTCAGTTTCAGAAAGAAATGTATATACATACATCTATGTATAGATTAACAGCAACATAATAAATACAATTATAATATAATGAGATCATTCATTTTTGTACTTACCAATATTTCACAACTGTGAATGAAGTTAAAATGAAGCATATATGCCTTCGATGGACTAGACATTTCACTGAAATATTACGTGCATTGTAGCACATCTTATTCAATCTGCTGTCTCTGTTGGTTGATACAATTTTGTAAGGGATAAATTTAGTAACTGCTATAGTCAGTGCAGTAGTTTTTGGCTGGTGGAGAAGCTAGCGGAGCTGGCGGATGGGCCTACTCTGTGTACCTGAGATGCCACGGTCAGTGTTTTTCTTTTGTTTGGACTTTCAGTTCGATAAGCTCCTCATCCTTCCTGGAGGCAGATGAAACATTGTACTATCTTACAAGTGACTTGCTCCTAGCTGTCCCCTTGAAAATTCCACCAGCCAAACACTACTGCGAACACTATACATGACTAGACAAGTTATTTAGTATAATTATTTTATGAAAGGCAGAAGAAAGTTTTCTAAATTTAATCATGCCAAAATGGTAAAATATTGGCCAGAAAAAGACTTGACATGTTATTTCTTTCTACAGAGATGGAATTAATTTATGACAATGGGAAGCGGTAACCTGGAAGACATCTATTAACCTACAGAAAACTGCCTTGATAAATTTACATCAATATGTTTAACATCATAAAGTAAAAAGTTGAAGGGATTTTAAATAGTAACATTAGTCGAACTTGTCGAGTGGAGTGCGATTAGTGGAGAAAATATTTCTTCTTCAGGAGTTCCAAATGCTCTTCAGATGCAGTCTGAGGAGAGCTCCCAGATGGATGTTCTGTAAGAGAATCTAAATAAAAGATGAAATGTGAAAAACACACTACAGCCGTTAATTTAATTTACGCACTAAGGCACTGATCTCCTGCCATAAAAGTCACACTATAGGTACATTACCTATCTGAAATACACACCAAGCTCATCATAATCTCCCTAATTTGACTACCTTTACCAATACTAGGTGGCCCGTATAAATCACATAGTTTCGTGTTATGTAATATCGCAATTAATAAAGTGTGTATGTGGGTAACTGAACTCCGTCAATGTCCCAATTTTTCAAGTCTGAAAGCTACAGCTAACCTAAAGCTAAACATACCAGTGTGTGAATGTTTACGGATGCTCCTCTCTAGTTCCCGGCGCAAGATATGGCTGAACGGATGCTCAGTTTGCCAGGCGTCGGCTACGTGGGTTGTTACTGCAGTTGCTGGGCTGCTGGGTTGTACTGGACTTGACTTTTGCATGGGCGATTTCATGTCCAGCACATAAGTTTTAGCACTTAGCTCCTTCTCTTTCCTAAAATATCAACAGGTTAACAACATGATATATCGGAAACTGTCCTTTGCTATGTATAATCTGTTCTCTGAAAATCTGTCCTATTAGTCTTAGTTTATGGGAGTCTGACACAATCACTTAAAGATGCCAGCAGATCTCCATTTAAAACTATTTTGTGGCTTTTAAAGATTAGGAATTATACACTATCAAGGAAACATACCAACAGAATTAAAACACAAAATGGAAAGCATCAATTATAATTACAGCTACTGCAGTAATTATGGAACATACTTTTATGCTCTCTTTGCACTCGGAGCATAAGTGGATCGGTATTTCGGTGTTCTACATCAGACTGTCTGTCAACATATTTCATCTCGGAAATGATTCAATGGCTTATAATGAAAGGTGAGTGGATTTTCTTAAATGGATTTAAGTTATAATGAGTACTTACAGACTAGAATATGGAGCGAGGTTTACATTGTATGTTTTCTCTATAAGCTTTTTCCTCCTAACTTCATGTTTCTTCTCGCATTCTCGTGTTAACTTTTCACACTTCTCCCTCAGTTCTTTTTCTTCTTCCCCTTTGGCTTGTAGAGAGGCCTGAACTTTGGCCAACTCCGACAGAAGTTTGAGTCGTGTCTCCTGGAATTCTTGTTTCATCTGGGATTCAGTCGTGTTCCGTAGCTGACTAAGACGTGTTTGTTCTTGAACCTAAACAGAAAATAAGAGTTAAATTAAAATCCGTACTTCCGACACACTATGAGCAGGTATAGCTCAGTCAGTATAGTGACTAGCTATGGGCTGGACGACCGGGGTTCGATCCCCGACGGGGGCAGAGGATTTTTCCTCTAGCCTCTGCGTCCAGATCGGCTCTGGGGCCCACCCAGCCTCCTCTACAATGGGTACCGGGGTCCTTTCCCGGGGGTAAAGCCGGCCGGGGCGTGATGCTGACCACTCACCCCCATCTAGTGCCGAGGTCAAGGAAGAGAGGAGCTATACCTCCACTCACCCCAAACGCCTACATGGCGTATAGTGGGACAAACTTTACTTTACTTTTACTTCCGACACACTCCCTCACAAAACGTACTAAAACTTAAAGAGACGCATCTTAACATATGTACAAGTGACATTGGTATAGCCTACAGACGTACCTGTTTTTCTATGAATGTATTTATTTGGCCCAACTTTTCATTGAGATCATCATGTGCTGACATCTCTGCCTCATGTTTTGCATGACTCAAGGCCAGTTCATAACTGTTCCTCAATTGCTCCAGCTCGTAACGTGACACAAAATCTTTCTCGAGGCGACTGCGGAGGATACCGAGCTCTTTCTCCAGCTGTAACTTCTCCTAAAATGAAAAGACTGAGGTTAACTTTTTTTATCCCATGAATCAGATATTTTGTTATGAAATACCAGCTATTACTCTTCTAATCAATTCTGCATTTTATAGTATAAGTGAAAATGATCTCTCTCACCATGAGTTACCTGTTTCATAAATCAAAATCAACACAGAAAAAGTTATTCCACTAGCTTGAAGCATTTTTCAACATACATAATTAAGAATCATAAGTTGCAGGACTGTCCTATTCCTTGTTTTCAAGATTACTACATGCTAAAAAATTATTAACAAGTCTGTGAACAAGATACTATTTTGCTGAAAGTCTATAAAATTTTTAAATGAAACCTGCAAAAAAGTTGCTTCAAACACAAATAATTGTATCACAGTACAATAAGAAAGATCCTTCATAATAAACAAATAACCAGTTTTTATTACCTCGAGTTCATATCTCATTTTATTGACTTGAACTTCTAGAGAAAATCTCATTGCATTTTCTTCTTGAACTTTCTGTTCCAGATCAGCCACCTGGAATCATTCATAATGAACCAATATTTTATTCTTAATGATGTTCCATTAAATATAATTATACAAGAGTTCAATTAATTATATGGTCCAGAATGGAAAAGAGCAAAATTTATATATAGTCTGCTTTTCAATTAAACTATCCCACTCTCAATAAAATAATTACAAGATATTGTGACATATTACATCCATGTCATTAGGTATTCATTCATATTACATTATTCATTAACATAAAGGCAGAGCCTTCAAATTTTCCCTGTAAGTCACACAGACATACATGATAACAAATACAAGTCTAGAGCGTTAGTACTACATCAGTCCGCTCGGCTGCCATCTGGAAAGCTATAAAGTTCTACCTACACGGCGAAGTAGCTTTTCTGCAGACATGGAAGAATCTGAAAAGGGTGTCTTCCTACAACATTTGTTATAAATATTAGTTTGAGATTTACTCTGTCACATTGCACTGAAGATGAACAGAGTTATAAGTAAATCAGTCTGCCATAAAACAGCGTTATAACCAAAAATAAGAAGTGTCATAAAATGGTCCTCTGAGATGCTTACCTGTCTCTGAAATTCAGCCATATTTGAATCAAAATGTGTAGGACTTTGCAAATCAGTCATTAATGAATTGTTATTAGTGTTATTTTGTTTCAAGGCCGAGTTTGGCTCTATTTTTCCCTGCTTTCTACTTTCCCCAAGTTTGTTTTTTAGCAACTGTATATCAGATTTCAGCTTTCTTATGTTTTGCTGATATTTTCTACATCTATCCTTTTCTAACTGCAGCTCCCTTTGGAGTTCAAGATTTTGTATTGATGGCGTCGTATTCGTCGCTGCGTCCCTGCATGGTCGAAACTTTGCTTTGTTGGCTCGCTCTTGATTTATTGACCCCAGGTCTGAATTTGTACTTTCACTTGACAGACAACATGACATTTGGGTCTGGCACTGCTTTAAGTTCAAGAATATTTCAGAACTGGAGCTGTTGTTATCTTTATACATCCGCTGATGTTTCACAGTTACATCAGAACCCTCGGCTGATGTAACAGGCAACATTGTGACACAGTCTCCTTCTGCTTGTTCTGTAAGAAAGTCTGATGGCACATCTCCTGAAGCCATTTTCCCATTACAGAACAAACTGGCATCTTGAGAATTCTTTAACATACAGCATCCAGTCTCATCCTTATCACTCCCTATACATCTACAATGTACCAAAGGTCCAAAGTGCTTTCCAATTTGTGATTTTGTTGAATCAATATTCTGTAATTCTTGTTCCTTCCTGTTAGCATTTATTGGAATTTGGCATTTTTGTTCAGCATTTGGAGAGTGTTGTTTCACTCTGGTCATTGCAGAAATATCACTAAAACTTAATTCACTTTCATGTCTGTCATTTGTTCTAACTGAGGACGCAGGTTCATCTTGATTTGCTGCAGCGACATTAGAGAAAGTGAACACATTACCAGACTGTGAGTGTATGCCTGTATCCATAACCTCAATGTTACTTGCCTTCATGCCTACAGTTCTCCTTTGTTTTGCTTCTTCTAATGAGACTGAGCAGCCCACGGACAGAAAATGGGCTAATGAGTCAAGATTCACATTTGATGCTACCCTATCATCAATGTTACCTACTGAATGATCTTTTGAAACTTCTTGGTTTTGATGGAGATTATGGCAGTCATATTCACCTTTCTCTTTATCTTCCTTCTCAGTTAACTGTGCCTTCAGCACAATATTTTCTTTCCTCAGATGATCCAACAGATTGCAAATCTCAGTGATTTTAAATAGCTGACTCTCTTTAGTCGCGTGCTGTTGATGTTCAATCTGTCTCTTCATCTCTTCCAACTCTTTCATTAGTAAAGTATTTTCATGTGCGTGAGTATCCAGAGCCTCTTTTAGCTGTAAACCAGAAGCTTCCCTCGACTCCTTTATCAGTACTGACATTCTTTCCAATTCAACTCCTTTCTTTTTACATTCTTTTGACACCTGCTGTAACTGGGCTTGCAAAGCAACGTTCTCCATAGATACGTGTACCAACTCAACATCTGGATCCGTCATTGTCTGAACATTATTAATTCCTGTTTTCAGAGGCCGTACATCATGAATCATTGTTCTGGTATTAAACTCCTCCAGTTCAAGTCTAACAGATTCTAACTGTCTCCTTAAATCTCCATTTTCTGCTAACAGGTTTTCTACAGCCACTATTCTTTGGTCTGTTAGCTTATCATCAGTAGCCTCTTGTAGACTTTGATCCTCATCTAACAACATTCTACTTGGGCTACAAGTGCCCGACACTGCTGTACACGGATCTGAAATGTACCGGGAAGCACCACCGTCATCTCTCCCAAAATCTTTACTGTGTTGAGTAATATTATTCTGAAGAAACAGCATGCCTGCTTCAAGTTTAGTGTTCTCATCCTTATATTTCTGTTCCTCTTCCAACTTCTGTGAATCAGTCATAACGTCCGTGTCTTCCACAGCCTCCTTCGCTTTTAAATGAACTTCAAATAAGTGAATTTGATCTTGTAACTTTACATTTTCAATTCTCAATTTATTCAGCAAGTCCTTATATTGTTCTGGGAGTTCATATTCTACGGGTTCGGTCATTGTTCCTTGTTCCATCACACTGCTTTCTTTTATGTCATCTGCAGGTAAAATTACATACTGTTTTAATTTTAAATTTTCCATAAACAATTCGCCAGATGGCTCCATAGTCCCTGTGTCAGCTTCTCTGATACTTTCTTTATTTACCACATGTTCCACGTCTTTGACGTGTTCCTCGAGTAAATCTGTTTCTCTTTGCAACGTAGCATTTTCATCCTTCAACTCACACCATAATACTTTTGAGCTCTGTTCTGTTGGCAACATGTTTTCTTTCCACAGTTCCTTTGCTCTGCCTGTATCTAGACTGGTATTCACTGCCTCCAACTTCCTCTCTAAATCTCCCAGTCGAAGATAAAGCTCTGTTTCAATTTCCATATACTTTTCCCTGAATTGAGTATAAAGCAATGCCAATTCTTCCACCAGATTCACTGCTGTGTATGTGGCACAGGTCTCCTTGTCGTGTTCATCATGAAGGCCATGTTTTGAGAAGCTCTCTAGTAGCCTATTTGTAACGAGCTCAAGTTTTTCATTATCTTTCAACAGTGAAGATCCAATTCTTGAATACTCAGCTTTCAGAAAACAAACACTGTTCATAATTTCTTCCTAAAACAAAACAATGCTATTATTATTATATACAGAATTAATTATGATGGTTTCAGTGGGTGGATTATGAAAGTAAAATGCATCACATTATCACTAATATCAGCAATGACCACCCCCTTCCATTTGAATATGTTTCAACTCATAAAATTCCTTTCAATTTCTGTAAAAATTCATATTGAAAAAATGGAGTGTGGGTATGGAACATATTTTCATCAGCTGAAATAATACCTTGCATATAGTACATACATACCTGGATTTTATTTTTCCAAATAACATAACCTTCTTGTTTCGTTTCCTCGAGTCTCTGAATGATTTGCTGCACTTCACCTCTGAAGTCTCCTGTTTCAGGAAGACTGGGTTCACCTTCAGTGGAGGGTATGCATGAACTTATTAACTGAAGTTTCTCCAGACATGCTTCATATCTGAAATGAAGATAAACAATACTTTCCTTAGAATTTTTGCTTCTGTGATATTGAATACACTCTCTGAGATTTGATGTTGTCATGGCAGTGAAGACGCCAACAGCGGTCTTCTGAGTTGTGACACTGCGTGACCTCGCAGATCATCACTGGTATTTCAGCTCAAACTTATTAACCCTGAAGATGAAGGTGATAAATTCCTTTTTAACGCTGGCAACAAACCTACAAGCCTACATGACATCGCAATTCAGAAAACCATAATCAATAATATAAGTACAGTTCTATGAGATGTGATAGTTAAATAACTGGGCTGAAATATTGTCAAGCAACTTACGACATGGGTACCATTCCTTAAAAATGTTATAAATTTATGGAATGGAACAATGGGAAGTAAACAGGTTTGTGACAGGGGTATAGACATGGACATAATAAAACCATAAGAAAATATTACAACAAAATAAAATATTAACATCCTCCAGCAAAAGTGTCATGCAGAATTAGTGTTCAGGACTTTTGGTGGGAATTGTATATTTTGAAGACTTTAATGCGAACCCCACTTCTAGGAAGCTTTCTTAAGATATCAGTTCATCATTCACTTCTGAAATTCATGTATTGTTCTTAATTTACAGACTTCTGAACACAAAGTTATGGTCATCCTAAAATATACTGTTCAGCTGCAACTTACAACTGTGTCCATTTCTCTGAATGCTCTTGTAATGTGTTTACATCGAGAGATTTTCTTATACACATGGCAACATTTTCATCACTAAGAAGTTGATTTCTAGTGACAACTTCATGCAGTTTCTGCCTAAGGTCTTCATTCCTTGTGTGCAGTCTACAGACTTCTTCTTGTAACGTGCTCTTCTCTATTTCTAAACAATTCTGTGAAATTGAAAAATAAACATAATTTAGTTTCATGCAAAGAGCTATAAATTACAGAAATGTAAATATAAATACAGCACAAAAACATGGGTATATGCCAGTCCAATAGATAATACTGTGTAGGATTTGAGGTTATGTTACCAGTGAGTACAAAGCTGCCTGTCTTTTAGGTTATAGCACCTTGCAGTATGACAGAAGTTTACTAAAGTATCATAGGTGCTTGCACCAAGATCTCTGAAACGTTGGTACACAGTGCTACAAACCAGAAGACAGCCCTCTTCGAGATAATACTGTATACGTACAATGTGGATCTCCAACTTTTGTTTTTCTTCTTCCTTCTCCTTATCACCAACCATACCTTGTAACCTTATCTTTTCATCCTTTGCTGCCAATGATTTACTGAGAGTTATTATTTCCATTTCTTTCAGTCTAATTATTTCAGTTAAGTGAGACTTCTCATCCTCCAGCTGAAACAATAAGAATTTGTTCTTTTTGTAACCATTTTACACAGCTGATGGCCCGAGAAGAATTTTTTGGGAGCTTGTTATTCACTGAAACAGATATATTTTATTCAACAAGGCAACACTAACAAGAATTAAAAAGTCTGAATGCAATTAATATTTTATCTTAACAATATGTACTCAATAATGAAGACAGTTTTATCATTTACTGATACCAACAAAATTCAGTTTCAGTCAACCAGACTAAATAGCACAACAGCCCAGAAAACAGTCATCTTCATGCTTGCCACCACGACAACCTGATATCTCACCAGCAACTTACCTTGCCACACACTTCTTTGAGGTGTTTCAATTCCTGCTCCAAATTACCCAAACGCAATTTGTACCTCTGTGATTCTTCTCGGGACTTTGTATACATAGTCTCCACATTGCTCAGCTGGTCCTCAAGCAACGCTATTACCTCATCACGGCTACGAGTAGCTTCACAGGCTTCTGCCAGGTCGTACTTCAGCTTCTCGGCTCTCTCTCCCAATTCTGCCGCAGTTTCTTCCCACAATCCCTTCTCTGCTGTTGCCTTTTGAAGGTGTTGCTTTAGCAAATTGTGATTCCCCTTAAAAAGTACAAATATAATATGCAGTACAACCCTGGCAGAACAGACATCTGTACTTTATCATGATAAATAAACTAACCCCATGTGATATTTTTTTTAATTTACCACAACTACATATGCAACATATGTGTGACAAATTTCCATGCAAAAGGGTTTTGAATCCTTAAAGGTAACAGAATCCAACATCTTCACAGTCATTCCATTATAACACAAACATAAAAAGAAATTACTGTATCTTTCATCACCTTTTCCACATAAAAAAAATAATACAAGACTAAAAAAATTATATAAGAACATTGTCAAAACCTTTGTTCCATGTACATAAATTCTGTTCATAAGGCAAGCATAAAATACATGATTTGGACCACACTTTTTTACATTTTGTCAAAAATTAACCTCTAAAATATTTAAAAATGGCAATGCCCAGCATGGCCGGTCACAGTGGCCGCACGGCCTGAGGCGCGGGCCTTGTTCATTTGGACTGTGGGTTCAAATCCCACTGAAGGCATGGACGTCTGTCCGCGTCTTTCTGTGTTGTGATGTCCTGCCTACAGGTAGAGGCCTTGTGACAGGCTGATCACTCGTCCAAGGAGTCCTACCAAATGTCTGAATAGATCAAGAAACCTCCAAAAGAGGCATCCAGGACCTAAACAGGATGTAGAGCCACAGGGAAAAGAAAGCATGACTGTATTGTTTATGAAAAACAGACAAACAGTCAGAGGTTTATAAGCTACCTTCAATAAGTAGATATGCTGAGGAGTGTTATCACTGTGTGAAGGTTCACTTTCTATATCATCACTTTGTGAGTTCCTTTGGTTCTCTGGACTCCCTGAAACATTACATTTTGGTAATTAATGTGACTAATTAACTACAGAGGAATGAAGTGGGGGAACAGAGAATAATACATAATGCACATTTTCATGAAAAGACAAACATCAAAGCATGAAACTGTGCGTTAAAAGGTTTAAAGTTTGTTGAAGATGACAGTCTTCTGGGATGTTGAACCATGTAGTCTGGTAGAAGTTTGCCAATGTTTCAAAAGTGCTTTCTGCCTCCATCATGATGTCCTGATAAAGGATGCAGCATGTACCTTTCAAATGTTGGTAAACTTCTACCAGACTACAGGGCGCAACATCCCACAAGACAGCCATCTTTATACTCACCACCGTGTTCACAAAATAAACTGGAGTGAACTGTGATACGGTTTACGCATTTTATACTATTATCACTAAAAAAACATAAGCATGGGTTTTAATGTGGTTTCTTGCCTCTACTTATTCACATGTTTATCTGTATTGTTCAGAGAACAGCACAGTTTCAAAACAAAGGACCTTCAGTTTACTTCTGTTCTGTTACTGTTACTGCTGCAAAGGCGGGTAGATTATGTCTCTATGGAACTATGGCCATTAATGGGTCCAACAAACAAGTAAACATGGTGCAGTAGTACAATGATACTGACATGAGAAACTAAAGAATGTGGGGGGGGGAACCTGTCCCAGCATCACCTTGTCCACAAAAAACCTACATGGACTGCCCTGGGAGCAAACCTGGAACTCTGTTATTTCTATATTGCAAACTATTCAAATATGCAATATGTATGGTATATGCAGAGATTTTTTTAATCTGTAATCTTAAAGGAGAAAGTATTCATAAAATAAAATGGCTCTCAAAGAACTTCAGTTTACAACTTTTAAAATCATAAGTTCTTAATGTCATCTTTAACTGATGGAAACCCACAACACGGTACAATATACTAAAATATATGCGAGTAACGGCGTAACTGACTCCTGTGTGAATTGTAATACAATTTAATACTGGTATGAAGAACATTTTCTATACACACAATTCCCCTAACTGGTTTTGAGTCCACACCCACTTGGTTGTCACGGTTACTAGCCAGATCCGCAAAATCCCATTAATAAAGCTAATTTACACACACCTTTCTGAAGACCTTCTGGCGGTAGGTTCTCATCTGTTTCATGGAAACTGTAATAAAATACAATATGGTAAAAAGGCATTCTTAAAAACTTAACCATGAAAAATCACTTCTGAAGAAATAAATTATATGGGTCAGAATGATATGTATTGTGACCCTACTCAAACACGAGAAGTTCTGACCAAAGTCTGCATTCAAGTGGTTATACGACATGCACTTGTTTTAAAAAGAAATTCATGATAAGTAACATGATGACTGACTAACCTTGAAGTTTCTTCAAGAAGAGGAACATCTGCAGATGAAGAATCAGATGGCTGTGTACTGTTGAGAATCTCAGTAAGTTCTCTGACTGGTGTCTGATCTGATTCTTGTTTCTTCTCACATTCCAACATGTCCAACTTAGCCGGACTCAAAGTTGCGGAGCTTTCTCCCTTGACAGAGAAACCTGATCGCTCAATAACAGTCTCCTGTCGTCCCAATGGCCCGCCTTTGTCTGTACTCATCCAAAATGGGTGCTCTTCAAAGGAATCCTCCACTGATAACTCACTTACAGTACCACCACTTACATTTTTTAGATCTGGACCTAAGAAGCCTCTCATTTCCAAAAGCATCTTTCTTTTCTTTCTAATTGGCTTTTCCAAACCTATTTCTTTTATGGTAACATCACCAGATGTGCTTTCTGAACAAGGTTTTTCATATGCATTTGGACTAGGTACACTTGCTTCCATCACTTCACTTTCCAGAGATGGTTTTAAAATGGGAGCAGTTTGTTCTGTTCCATTAAATAATTGTGTCTTTACATCAAATGAAAGTGACTTGGAAACAGCGTCCCTCATGCTCCTGTCGGATCCTTCTCCTTCGCTCTCGGCTCGTCTCCTTCTGTGAGAAGATTTTTTATGTCTTGGAGGAGCAACAGGATCTGCGTAAAAAGATATCAATTTTGCATCAACTGAACGAGGAAGGGAACGCGACCCCCTCTTCATAGTTACAGATGACTGGCCTATTTCTTTAAATGCCTCATCTATCAATTCGTTTGAGCGTGGAAGAGACAGGTACTCTTCATTTGCAGAAGTGAAGTCTGGTATCTCACATGTTCTTGGCAAAGACAAAGAGCCTTGTCGTTTTACAATGGCAGTCTGTGCCATTTCCCTCACACCAAATTCATTTGCACATGGAAGGGACGAGTGCCCTTGCTTTCTGGGTCCCAATGACTGAACCATAGCAAAATCTGGTATCTCAGTTGTTCTAGGCAGGGATAAAGATCCCTGCTTTTTCACAATTGCCGACTGTGCCATCTCTCTCGGGCCAAAATCGTTCGCTGACGGCAATAAGAAACCGTCATTTCTAGACCCTGCTGACTGAGATCTTGGCAAGCCTGATGTCTCCTTTGCACGGGGAAGAGAAAGTGAACTCTGCTTCCTTACTACAGAGACATGAGCTAGATCTCGCAGTGCTTCATCATAACACCGAAGTTGTGCACTTATGTGTTGGTTCTCCTCAACCATTCTGTCAACGTGTGCTGCTGCTGGTTTTTCATGGATCTCATCACTTCTGCTCCACGACTGAACTGAAACTGACTGCTGGCGGGCATGTTTTCTTGTGTGGGGTATCTTTCCATCTGCAGCACATTTCTGAGGTCCCAGTGCATCCAAAGAATCAGATTCTAATTTCAAACTGTTGCTTATTCTATCAACATCACACATGGATGTCTGTTCTTGAATGTATTTGATGTGAACATTATTTTCTGAAACAGCAACACCTCTGGCTTTATCAAATTGGGGTGAAGGGTACAGAAGAGTGTCTTCAGCACTGTTCCAGTTTTCAGGTACATCTTTTGAACGCTCTGTAGAAGTCAATCCCTTAATGTTTCCATCAAACTGAGGTGAACTCCACACTAATGTTTCTTCCAATTCTTCCTTAATAGTTATACAGGTATCATCCGCACCACAAGATGGACCAGACAAAGTAATACTGCTTTTTGGTATACGCGCATTAGATTCCCATACTTCTTCATAACCTAATAATGTTCCGTCTCTCCCGAGAGTACCTGAAACTGAACTATTTACATCTATTTCATTGTCATCTCTGGTGTCTGACCTATGCCTTCCCAATTCAGAAGCCTCAGGACTCTGACCAACCTTATTCTTTCCAGTCTCTGTATCATCATCTGTCAAGTCAATCGAGGGGGCTCTTGTCAAAAATCGACTCCTCCTCTCAGCATTCAAAGAATATGGGGAACCATCAGTAGGGTCATCAGTAGTATCAGGAATTACAAGCTCACTTGGATTAATGACTCTAAAAACTTTCAAAGGAGAATCATTTGTATCTGCTGGACTGATTGTTACATTTGTAGCAGGATAATTATCCAGTGGCAAACTATCATCACTGTCCCAGTCACTGTTTGAGCTTGATCCCTTCAGACTTTCCTTGCTAGATCTGATGTCGTCCAACACAGCTTCTCCCCCCACGCTCATCAGAGCAGAACCCTCTTCCTTTCTTTTGTGAAGACGTGTACTGCTCTCCTTCACTTGAATATCTTCGTACTTTGTAGAAGGACTATCTTTGTTTCCCTCACATTCTGATGATACGTTTAAATGATGGTGAGTCAGTGAATCTCGTTTGTCATCATTTTTCCTGATGCTGATCAGCGCATCAGCATCACCTTGCCCTATATGAAGACTATCACCGTGAAAGCTTGGAGATTCAGCAGCCGTGGGTGACTCATTGAAGCTTTCGCGCCTTGACTTCAAAGAACCCAGAGGTAAGAGACTACGCCGACGAGGTTCCAGGACCTAATCATCACAGAAATAAGTCCTAAGCTACCAAAATCTAGCACTGAAAATGTTTTTAAACGTCAATATCCGACACAAAACTTGGTTTAAAAAGGCATGGAAGAAAATCTTGCCCATCATGAAATTCTACATATGTTTTCTTTTATGAACTCTTAAAATAAATTAATAATAGGGAGAGTACGCTATCATGTTATGTCTTCAAAATTATTCTTTATCTTTGAACTTGAGCAATTTATCACTTGGATACTTTCAGTCACTACCAAACAAAATGAAACATCAGAAGTAAATGTCTTGATTCTAAACAGTTCTGCTCTTTCTAATGGCCTCAACAGAATAGGTGCCCCTTCCTTATACCTTAGGATGAAGATTGATCTGGTCCTTGAAATGCATATTTTTGGAACACCAGATGATGGAAAAAGTCCAAAAACTCAGTAATCCAGGTAAGTTCTTGTTTATTTTTAGTAGATTACTGACATGTGAGCTCAATATGTATGAATGTAGCGTGGCATACATCCACTTACTGGGCAGAAATGTCATATTAATGAACGCTATACGTTTATCCGTACCTTTGGGTCATCTATGACTCCAGACTGGATAAGATCCCAGCTTCTAGGTGGCTTACAAGGAGGAGGTATAACACAAGATCGAGGAGAATCTTGGCCGTCTTCATCTTTCACTTCCTGCACTCTTGGACTGTGAATGCTTTCTTCACTAATTTCATCATCAGAGGAAGGTGGAAGAAATTTTGATATCTTGAGACCTGCGCCCTGTTAATACCGATTCACATTGAAAGAACAAACATGAAATACAATAACGTAGAAGACATATGAGAATTAAACTCATTCGCAGAAAAATAAATAACATTTCTCAACACCAAACAGAGTCAGTGACTGACACACAACAAGAAAATTACACTCATTACAAAAAGTTCTTCCTTTCTTTCCCGTCAAACATCTTAAAAATAATTTGTCATCCGTCAACACACTCATCTATTAAACTCGCACCAATCATCCATCTGTAGCTGGACAAGATCCAAGTTCAGATTCTACAGGTAATTTTCTAATGATACTCAAGTAAGTCACACGAGAAAACCATCTACATACCATTCAGCGTCAAGTTTGTCAAGTCCCGAGGGGTCAGAAGAAGCAGATGATTGATGGAAAGTTGTCATTTCCAATAATAATAGATTTATTTATTTACTTGTAGTTTATTTAATGATGCAGTCAGCAGCTCAGAAAATATAGTATCAAATGGTGAGATTAATAAAGAATAATGAATTTGAAAGAATACAGAAGGAAGTGGTCATGGTTTATTTTATGGTACTATCCCAGCATCTGCCTGGAGAAAATGGGGAAAACCACAAAAAAATTCCAGTCTCCAGGATGAGACTTGACTGGGGCCGCTCAAATAGGAACCACGAGCGCTAATCACTTGATTATGCTGTTTGGTTCAAGAGAAACCGTACATCAGGTTAATATACTGACCTTCTGTTTCAAACTAGAATCTGACAGTTGACTATCATTCCATGTATCACTATTATCAGCTTCTTCATTTTGTTTATCAGCCACATTTATATTCTATAAAAATAAAGAGACATTATGAGACAGACGAGCAAGTATTAACAGCACTTTAGCACACACAGTCACCTTATCATCTTAGTTACCGCAGTCTTCTGGGTTGTGACTGACTCCATCTTCAGCAATTATGAACAGTACGCCCTTTCTCGGCTTTAAATTCTACTGCGCCGCAATGCTCGAATGCTTCGCGTGGCACAATCATTAATAAAATCACTTTCATCAGACTTGAATATTAAACTAACCAACAAATTCAATGGACATCGTCCTTCTAGAAAAGCTGATTCTGATGAGTTAGTCGAGAAATTCCCCGCCTTTCATGTCTTTAAAATTAATTTTAATATTATTCTCCATTTATGTCTACATCTCCAAAATTATCTATTCGATACACGTGTTCTGATTAAAATTTTGTATGCATTTATCATCTTTTTATGTATGCCACATATCCAGACCAAATTTGATCTCCCATGGAAAAATTAAGATGTATAAATCTATAATTACACAATAATTTTACGTTCTCATACCATTCTCATGTAAGGGTTGTGGGACAAATAACATTTCACATAGAATTTTAGTCAAAAAACTGCAAGGAGTTAAAAGATCATTTGGGAGACCAAGGCAAAATGGGAGGATGCTATTAAAATTAATACAGGCTGTGATGGTCGGACTCAATTCAAGTGGCTAAGAACAGGGCCCGTCCAACGGCAGGCTTTTATGGAACTGGTAACAAATCTTTTTGATTCCCATAAAACAGTGCATTTCAAACGAAGCAGCTTTCCGTGGAAGATCCTGTACCACAGGAGCATTCATTTGCATAGGCCCAGGTCTCACCTCTCTCTCGCCTTCATGCCGATCGGACAGGAGAGATGCATCCGAGACCGATCGTCTGGTAGGCGTTACGGCAGTATCACACTTTTCAGATTCTACAATTTCTTCATTGAAAGACATGACCATTCTGTCTGAAGGGGATTTCAATTCGGCAGCTATATCATGGTGACCTTCCTTCAGTGCATAATCTTCAGCTGTCAAATCTGGAAGAATTGAAGGCATTTCACAATTTAACTCATACAAGATTGACATACGTTGTTTCTTTTTAAACACTTGCCCTCTGCTCAAAGGGACTGTGTGTCACAGAGTCATTTAGTTGTAAAACCAGTACTTACCATTTGAATCCATAACCGCACACTGAGCTCCATACTCTAGAAATAAGTGAACCAAGGCCATGCTTCCACATTTAGCAGCAAACATGAGTGGAGATCGATTATCTCTGTCAACGATATTAACAGATGAACCATATCTTAGCAGGAGCTCAACTAAGTCTTTATGTTCAGCAACTGTTGCAATATGAAGAGGAAATTCTCCAAACTGCAATTAGAATATATTATTACTAAATCATCTTAACACATTCAAACCTTCAAAACTTCAGATATTACACAGTTCAGGTAACAGGTAACACAAACACTATTGAAACATCATTATTTCAAAATTTTTGAAAAATACATATAAGTTACTGGAATGTCAGTTGTTGGTGGAGAACCACAAGTAATATGAAGATGGGTGTCGGCTAAGTTGTCACCTTGATGAAGGAAACAGCAAGAATTTGAGCATATTTAAACAGAGTGACTATTTCTCAAAACAACATACAAAATTTCTTGAATACATACATTATTGGAACTTTCAAAATTGGCTCCTTGTTTTAATAACATGGAAGCTATTTCATAGAAGCCCTGTTTGGCTGCAATATGTAGCCCAGAATTGCCACTGTAGTCAATAGTGTTAATGTCTACTCCTCTTTCCAGCATGAGTTGTATGACTTCTTTATGTCCACATTCAATTGCCTGAAACAATAATGACAATTAGTACCAACAAATTCTGATGCACATAGTAACAATAATCATGTTGATACATGAAAAAACAAAAGAATAAAATATATTTACTTTCAAAAATGGGGTTTTCCCTTCGTTGTCACAAATATTGAAGTTTGCTTTCTTTCCCAACAGAAACCACACGACATTTGCATACCCTTGTGCTGCTGCTAAATGCAGAGGAGTTCTATTCAACTTGTCAACAACATTCATATCAGTCTTCTTCATGTTAACTTTCAGCTTTTCCAAATTTCCTTGCCAAGCAGCTTTGTGAAGTTTGGTAATACTTTTATCTTTTCCACTGATGTCAACATTATAACCAAAGCTTTGTTCAAATCCAGTGCTGTGGTCATCAGTAGGTGTTGACTGATCAGTTGGGCTTGGAAGATCAAAGAAGGGACCAAGGGCCCTACCTGAAGAACCATGCTCTTTCTTTTCATCTCGTTTCCCTTTAACAAATTTTAAAACTTTCCGCATTTTGAATTCTCAGGCTACGCTCATACGCATGTTAACCTACGCAAATATAAAAAATCAATATCTTCATGTCATCAAGAATAACACCACCAACTTCATAGTATTATATTCGTCTTAGACTATGGAATAATTACTGTTCATGCCTATATGAGAAATATTTTGTATTTTCAACCACAATTTGTTGTATTCACGCAATGTTAAATTAATGACTACATTTTCAAACAGCTGTTCAGCTTCCTTTCAAACCATAGAATTCATTGCCAGGGTTTGAGAGTTATGACGCGAGTGTGTTTGTTTACAACTGGCATTTACGTACAAGGCCAGTATGCCAACGTTTCCATTAACTTCATGTTTATCAAACTGATTACCGCCCTTTCATCTTTAATCTCTTCTTGGTATGGACCACACATCCCAGATTTACAGTTTCTTCTGCTACTGCTCAAGCGCAACTTCCAACCAATCGCAACAAGCTTCTCATATGTTCAAAGCAAAAGCTGAGAATCGAAATCCGTGATGAAGGCAGCTCAATTGTCAAGAGTGATTTGTAATTTATGTTCACCTTTGGGAATTGCTGAAATACGTCGTCAGATACCAATTATTAGCGGCAGAAGTCACAAAATTTCACCAATGGCCAGCGGTGAACATGACAACACCAGAATACATACATTTTATACGAAAAGATTAAGTGGAAGTAGCAGCAGGACAGATGACAGTCAAACAAGGCAAGATGCTTCTGACCATGATTATTATATTTCTTCAAATGAAAATCAGTGCAGACGGCCAAGTACTGCTGAAGATGAACAGAGGGTGAAGAACCTTCTGAAGGAAATTATTGCCTACCGAGAAAACAAAGTTAGCAGTTGGATTGTTGAGGTATGTTTGACATGTGTAATCGAAATAAACATTAAAGTTCCTTTGTCTGCATGTTATAGTTGTATCAGTAAAATGTACAGGCTGAATGGCTGGTTATGTTCTTTTAATAGGGTCAAAAGTCTGTATGGTTCACCCAGTCTCATGTTCAGTGAGCACCTGTAAAGCAAGTAGCTATACCTTTTTTTGGCATAGAGACATATACTTTTATCTACTTCACTTGTAGTGTGCAGATTGTGTCAGTGTCCAATTTATTAAATACCTGTGGTTGTGCATTTTACAGAGCAAAGTTAAAAACCTCTGTGCTGCATACAAATACCTTCTGAAGTCACATCGAGATGGTTTCCTTAAAGTATTAGCTTGCGACCATGCAGTGGATCATCAGATGGTATGCAAAGCAGCAGAATCACTACTTTCTATAGAGGTAAGACTTTTTTACAGTTCTTTGCTCAATAGGTTGTGGTTAATTTTCCCAAACAACTCAACCAACAATCAAAGTAGGATGGTTCATCACTTACATGCCATCCTTTTTACATATTCATAAACTCACCATTCACAATCATTATTCTGTATCAGACACTGTACAAACCCTACACTTGAACAAATGAACGTAAGAATTGATCAGTTATTTCTGTCTGCAGTGAATTGAAGGATTTTATATGCATTAATCGTTTTTAGCAGCAAAAGCCTGACGATGAATGCAACAGACGCCAGATTATGAAAGGAGAAGAACAGCTGAAAAGTCTTCTCACTCCACAATACGCATGGTTGTTCGTGCATGTGGGCCGTCTGGAGAGAGGGGTCAAGTTTCTTGTTGATTTACGAACAGATGTTTTGGTATGTTGAGCCGTGAAGATTGATTTGTTCTTATCTGATAACAAGGCAGTTTATATGACATAAAATAATGACGTAATACATCCAATTTCATGTAAAATGATCATTAATGACGTTTTTAATTAAAGTTTAGATTTATCAGGTTTTTTTCCATTCCTACAAGATTATAGTAGCATCGTAGACAGTTTTCACTTCTGTAGTAAGGAATGGCTGCGTCGTATTCTGTTCCAGGCCGTGATTTCGGAACTGGATGTTAAAGATCCTGCTATGGTACCCATGCAAAAGCTGAATCTTACACTCAGGGAGATGCTGTCTTTATGGTTCTCTGTTGGATTTCTCAATTTGGAAAGGATCACGTGGAGATCACCTTGCGAAATGTTACAGAAAGTAAGAACGTGTAACTCGGAATACTGCACAGCTTTGGGATTTTTAAGCGAAGTGTCTATTACTAACAAAAAAAATAGCCATCGTCTCTCACACTTGACTGGAAGCAAGAAATGCAAATGAGGCTTTGGTAGGGCCTGGTGGAGTCTGTAGCGTGGTTGTCAATTCGTGTCGGCGCTTCTATCATCTGTCTGCAGTCACTAGACGAAGATGTTTTCACATTTAATTTATTTTGTGAGGGAAATTTTTTTATAAATTTTAAACTTCCAATGCAATTTTCAAATGCTCCAATAAATTCTATTCCTGTTCAACACAAAAATTTTCATTCCCATTAACACTTTTACTACTGCATTTAATATTAACTTCATATGTCTCCCGAGTCACTTCCATCGAGGTATTACAATCCGAACTTGTATTTATTTTCCATCCTCTGTACATGTGCTTCCTGTTCTGCCTCTTACGTCTTCATTTAATCACGAAAACAATACCAGGCGGAGTAAAATCTTTTCATTGTGGGTACAGATTTCAGAATATGAAGCAGTACATCCGATGCGTAACTGGACAGACCTGAAACGTAGGGTGGGACCTTACAGAAGATGCTTCGTGTACACACATAGTAGCATGCCTGACGAACCACTCGTGGTATTACATACGGCACTGAGCGATGAAATTGCCCGGTCTACGAGAGGCATCGTGTCGGCTACGTCACGGATGTCGGGTAAGATTTATTACGGTAGTACTCTAAAAGGTAAGGGTCAGCATTGTATTTGAGTGAGAAGTAGTTCTCCATTTAAGTGGTAGTTGCTTTCCTGAAAAATACAACATAAATGATGAGCTAATTTTCTGTTACATAACTTCCAGATGATAAATGACTAAGCTTTATTAATTTAAAGAATAATCGTCTTCGTTACATTCCATTTTGTTCCTAGACCACCAAGTCTCCTAGCACATTCACCATCAGGGAAAACTATATATATGTACGAGGCGCGTCCCAAAAGTAAGTTTCCCTGGGGCCGTTTACAGAAACAAAACACAATTTCATGGAAATATTTATTGCAACAGATACAGCAAGTGTCCAGCTATTTTTCAACATATTCGCCACCAGAATTGAGACATTGGTCATACCGTGGGACCAACTTTTGAATACCTGGG